CTGCCTCTCCCCAAACCCAGCTCACTGCCGCCTCCTTCTGGAGCCTTCCCTGGCCTGCCCGCATGAGGGACTGTCTCAACAATCAATAGTGACCTCTGAGCTGAGCGAAGACACTGTTGAAACTTCCCACCCACCAGCTCCTCCCACCTCCGCTGGGGTGGCAGCGGGGTGGGTGAGGGGTGATGGCATTCCCTGGAGGAGTGTCCCTCTAGGCAGCTGCGGCCCCTGTATCTCCAACCCGGGGAAGAGGGCCTTTTGCGCGCGGGCAGGGCGGGCGCCACACTGACCTTGAGCCGCATGTCGCGGGCGTGCCGCTCCAGCTCCTTGCGCAAGTCCTCGCGGCCCAGCCTGTCCACGTCCAGCACCGAGTGCTTCCACTCGATCTGCTCCACGCTGTGCGGGTCGTGGGACACGCACTGGCCCAGCTTCACCTTCTTCAGCACGTGCCAGCAGCGGCCGTAGGCGGCCTCGTAGTCCAGCACGAGGTCGCTGAGCGTGCGGAAGGCGGGGGGCTTGTACATCAGGTCCTCGCGCCGGCTCATGCCCAGGGCCCCGTAGCGGCCCCCGAAGTTCACCCCCAGCACAATGTGGCGGAAGTAGTTCCCTGAGAAGTAGCTCTTGAAGCTGATGGGGAAGCGTTCCAGGGTGGGCATGCTGTTGGTGAGGTAACTGGCCATGTCAGCTCAGCTAAGGAACCGGCCAGTGAGGCGCAGGGCCAACATGTGGGGGCAGGACTGGGGCTGCATGCCCCCCACCCCAGGGGCGGTCTGGGTGAGCCTCCCCCCGCCCCTTCCTGACACCATGCCTTGCTCACCTCCACATCCTGTTGTCCAGCCTTGCGCCTGGCCTACAGTAGGTGCTCACTAAACTGAATCTCTAAGGGGCAGGGCTCTCATTGACTAGTGGCTGCTGCTATGATGTCAAGCACCGTTCACAGAATAACAGCTAATAGCGAGTCCTTCACTCCAAACCTCAGGGCTCTCTAATGAGTCTGGGCACATGGGATTTATCATATTGTTCTATGTTCACACCAGCTTAAATTTGTCTATAATAAAAGAAAACAACAAAAAAGGGCAAGGCTCCTGCATGAACCAATCAGGTCAGAGAACTGGCCATATGCACCTGCCTCCCCACCCTGCCCTAACTGGAGGCTTATCTGCCCACCGTGGGGCCCCAGCCATAGGTCCCAGCTCTGGCCTTTGGGAGGAATGACTGAGAACCCCTATTTGCTTTCCTTTATAAAGGCAGGAAGTTCCGTTCCAAAGATCCCACCCATCAACCTCACAAATCACCATACCCTGGAAATGCCAACATGCTGGCATTCAGCCTGCTTTCCCAGGCTGTTTGGTCCTTGGAAATGGCACAGTAGCCTCTGCGAGACAATGTGCCCTGATCTAGGGGTCAGAGGACAGGGTCACAGTACCCATGTGACTCAAAAGAGAGCTTCCCAGGAAGCCTGAGAAGTGAGCCACTGAGGCATGGGGGGACCGAGACCCCTCAAGCCCCTTCACTTTGGAGCCCAGTTCATGAGTGCTAGGCGAGCGAGCGGGGAGGGCCTGGAGCCCATGCAGGCCTCCCCTTCCAGAGTGTGCCCGCCCCCTCCCAGGGCTGAGGAAGGATACATTCCCAGGATCACGGCTTCCAGGCATTTGATTGGCAGAGCCTCTTTGGTCATTTCCTTGGCCAGGTCCATCAGCCTGGGGGCAGGGAGGCAGAGCCATGAGGACAGAGCCTCTAGCCCTTCCCGTGGGGGAGTGTCAGGAGGGGGCAGGGGACCAGAAGTGCTAGAACAGAGACATTCTCCCATCCAAGCTGCCTCAGCTCAGGCCCAGCACCTCCCTTCCCTCCCCCAGGTCCACCCTGAGCCAGAGAGGGTATAAGAAGAGGCAGCCAACTAAGATAAGGAAGGAGGTCCCTTCCCTTCCCTCCTTTCACTTCCTCCTCCCACCCCAGGCTCCTGACCTCTGGGGGCGGGAACATGAATGGAGCACGTAGTCACAGGCACTCTTTGACAGCCACTGGAAGGTGGGGGTGGGGGGTGGGGGAGGCCTTCTGCAGTGGGGTGTGGGGCCAGTGGGAAAGCGTGCCATGGATGCTGGGAACCTTGGCATTGATCCTGTCCCTTCTGGAGCACAGTGGACGCTCCTGACCCAACCCTGGTGTCTCCAAAGAGCTTGTAATTGATTGCAACTGCTCCCCCACGGCTGGCCAGCTGCCCGGGTCCTGGACATGCATCTCAGGCGGGTAGCCTGGTGACTCCCCAGCCTGTCCTGAACTTGGAATTCAGGCCATTTAAGACAGCCTGTTCCTGAGGCCTGGCTCCTCCTTCCGCCCTGAATGCTGCCTCCAGGTCTAAGAATGCAGCCTGGCCGCTGGCGTTTTCGCCCAGGCCGGTGCTGGACTCCTCCACCCACTGAGGCTGGAGCTAGGCCCGTCACTCCGCAGTCACAGGACAAGAGCAAAGCTTTTAGGGTGAGGGAGGCTGGATTCCACTGGGGGTCATTAAGGAATTTAGCTAATAAGCCACTTAAAGCATTCTTCACTGGAAAGCGAACATGGACAAGCTATGGGTGGAACAAGATGTAAAATCCACATTAATTTTTAAAACAGGTTTTTAAGCCCATGGACAGCTTTGGGTGGAGCTCCAGGCCCCTCAGGCCCAGTGAGGAAGTGGCACTCACTCCTCTCTCCTCTGTCTGGGGCTTCCACAGGGCCAAGCCAGCCAGGGGTCTACACACTGGGTGGTGGGTTAGGAAGTGAGAGATGAGGAGGGGTCCCTGTTGCTCAGACATGGGGCCTTGTACTAAATGACCAGAAGAGTCCAATGAGGCAAATGGGGTGACCACAGGTTCCCTGCAATGGGGGGAGCTCTCTCCTGCTAGGCTCACCTCATTAAAAAGAAAACAATAAGGCTTATACACAGGCTACTACCTGGGGCCACCCTCTGTCATTCCCAAGGCAAGCAGGGGGGCTGCCCATCGCCCCCAGCTCAGCATGGGAGCCCGGTGTTCATCTCGGCCCCAGTTCCTCTTCGTGGCATCCTGGGACCCTTGCGGTGTGCGGTGAAGGAGATGGGGCGGTGCAGGGGGACACACCCCTGCGGCCTGCTCCCTGGGAAAGGCCCTGCCTGCCTCACAAGCTTCCACCCAAGGCCCCTGAGGTGCTCCAACCCACCGAGGAGCACTGTCCGCCGTGGCGCGGAGGGACAGCACGCGCCCACACTTACCCTGTGAGGGGTCTGCTCTTCTTGATTTCAAAGAACTGGGTCCCTGTGTGATTGTACCTGCGGCGCTGGTTAAGGGCTTCCCAGCTTGGTCTGGCAGAAGCATGTCCCACCTCCCCACCCATCCGTCAGACCCTGGGGCCCAGCACTTCCAGGGGTGCAGGCTGGGTCAGGACCCCATAAAGTATTTCTTGAGAGGAACCTGGGGGGCGCTGATCATCTGGAGGGGAGAGAAGGGCACAGCACATGTGCCCCTCCTTCCCCACACGGCCCCTCTCTGTCCTCTCTCCTCTGTGGTTTCCACCTTGCTCTCCTGTGGCCTCTCCTCCCGGGAAGGGAGCCGTGGAGCAGGCAGCCAGGCCAGCCAGGGCTGGGAAAGTGGCTGGGCTTAGACAGCCGGGGAGCAGCATGAACCTACAAGAAAAGGCTGGTGTGTGTGTGGGGGCGGGGGGGGAGGTTTGACTCAAAAGAGAGCTTCCCAGGAAGCCTGAGAAGTGAGCCACTGAGGCATGGGGGGACCGAGACCCCTCAAGCCCCTTCACTTTGGAGCCCAGTTCATGAGTGCTAGGCGAGCGAGCGGGGAGGGCCTGGAGCCCATGCAGGCCTCCCCTTCCAGAGTGTGCCCGCCCCCTCCCAGGGCTGAGGAAGGATACATTCCCAGGATCACGGCTTCCAGGCATTTGATTGGCAGAGCCTCTTTGGTCATTTCCTTGGCCAGGTCCATCAGCCTGGGGGCAGGGAGGCAGAGCCATGAGGACAGAGCCTCTAGCCCTTCCCGTGGGGGAGTGTCAGGAGGGGGCAGGGGACCAGAAGTGCTAGAACAGAGACATTCTCCCATCCAAGCTGCCTCAGCTCAGGCCCAGCACCTCCCTTCCCTCCCCCAGGTCCACCCTGAGCCAGAGAGGGTATAAGAAGAGGCAGCCAACTAAGATAAGGAAGGAGGTCCCTTCCCTTCCCTCCTTTCACTTCCTCCTCCCACCCCAGGCTCCTGACCTCTGGGGGCGGGAACATGAATGGAGCACGTAGTCACAGGCACTCTTTGACAGCCACTGGAAGGTGGGGGTGGGGGGTGGGGGAGGCCTTCTGCAGTGGGGTGTGGGGCCAGTGGGAAAGCGTGCCATGGATGCTGGGAACCTTGGCATTGATCCTGTCCCTTCTGGAGCACAGTGGACGCTCCTGACCCAACCCTGGTGTCTCCAAAGAGCTTGTAATTGATTGCAACTGCTCCCCCACGGCTGGCCAGCTGCCCGGGTCCTGGACATGCATCTCAGGCGGGTAGCCTGGTGACTCCCCAGCCTGTCCTGAACTTGGAATTCAGGCCATTTAAGACAGCCTGTTCCTGAGGCCTGGCTCCTCCTTCCGCCCTGAATGCTGCCTCCAGGTCTAAGAATGCAGCCTGGCCGCTGGCGTTTTCGCCCAGGCCGGTGCTGGACTCCTCCACCCACTGAGGCTGGAGCTAGGCCCGTCACTCCGCAGTCACAGGACAAGAGCAAAGCTTTTAGGGTGAGGGAGGCTGGATTCCACTGGGGGTCATTAAGGAATTTAGCTAATAAGCCACTTAAAGCATTCTTCACTGGAAAGCGAACATGGACAAGCTATGGGTGGAACAAGATGTAAAATCCACATTAATTTTTAAAACAGGTTTTTAAGCCCATGGACAGCTTTGGGTGGAGCTCCAGGCCCCTCAGGCCCAGTGAGGAAGTGGCACTCACTCCTCTCTCCTCTGTCTGGGGCTTCCACAGGGCCAAGCCAGCCAGGGGTCTACACACTGGGTGGTGGGTTAGGAAGTGAGAGATGAGGAGGGGTCCCTGTTGCTCAGACATGGGGCCTTGTACTAAATGACCAGAAGAGTCCAATGAGGCAAATGGGGTGACCACAGGTTCCCTGCAATGGGGGGAGCTCTCTCCTGCTAGGCTCACCTCATTAAAAAGAAAACAATAAGGCTTATACACAGGCTACTACCTGGGGCCACCCTCTGTCATTCCCAAGGCAAGCAGGGGGGCTGCCCATCGCCCCCAGCTCAGCATGGGAGCCCGGTGTTCATCTCGGCCCCAGTTCCTCTTCGTGGCATCCTGGGACCCTTGCGGTGTGCGGTGAAGGAGATGGGGCGGTGCAGGGGGACACACCCCTGCGGCCTGCTCCCTGGGAAAGGCCCTGCCTGCCTCACAAGCTTCCACCCAAGGCCCCCGAGGTGCTCCAACCCGCCGAGGAGCACTGTCCGCCGTGGCGCGGAGGGACAGCACGCGCCCACACTTACCCTGTGAGGGGTCTGCTCTTCTTGATTTCAAAGAACTGGGTCCCTGTGTGATTGTACCTGCGGCGCTGGTTAAGGGCTTCCCAGCTTGGTCTGGCAGAAGCATGTCCCACCTCCCCACCCATCCGTCAGACCCTGGGGCCCAGCACTTCCAGGGGTGCAGGCTGGGTCAGGACCCCATAAAGTATTTCTTGAGAGGGAACCTGGGGGCGCTGATCATCTGGAGGGGAGAGAAGGGCACAGCACATGTGCCCCTCCTTCCCCACACGGCCCCTCTCTGTCCTCTCTCCTCTGTGGTTTCCACCTTGCTCTCCTGTGGCCTCTCCTCCCGGGAAGGGAGCCGTGGAGCAGGCAGCCAGGCCAGCCAGGGCTGGGAAAGTGGCTGGGCTTAGACAGCCGGGAAACAGCATGAACCTACAGGAAGGGGGGGGGGGGGGGGGGGGGGGGGGGGGGGGGTGGTGGGGGGTGGTCCAGCGTGGCTACATTGCTGGGTGCTGCTCCTGGGCCATCCTCCTGTTTCAAGGCCGGAATTGCCCCACTGACAAAGGAAGAGCTGGATCCGATTCTCAGTAACCAGCCTGGCTTTCTCCTGCTTAGGGCCCGGCCCTTCCATTTCTGCCTTCCCTGCAGCCAGAGGCGCTGGGGGAGAGAACCCAGGGCATACAGGGCAGAGAGCAAGAGGGGCCCAGAGCAGAGAACCCGTGGGGTCTGGGCTCGGGGTCCAGCTCGTCATTGCTGGGCAACTGGCCCCCTACCAGGGAAGAAAGAGGCAAAGAACTGGGAGAACATGCCAAGATGTGGATGTCACCTCCTGGAGCATAAAATCCTTTTCCTCTTCTACCTGTCCCCCCACCCCTGATCCCACTGCCTTTAAAACTACTCGTCTTTAAAGTGCCCCTCCCTCCTTCTGCTGGGCTGGATGGACAGCAGAGGAGGTCTGGGCTAGTGGACCTAGACGGGGCCACGGCCAGCAGGTAGTGCAGGAGACATTTGCCCCATCACACGGAGGAGGAAGAGGGTGGCCAGAGTGGGTCTGGGACTCATCACAGTCCCTGGGCTTGCTTGCAAGGGCTGGGCTTGCCCAACTCCAGGGGCTTGAGATGCCCTGTGAGCTGCGGCCTGGGCTATGGCCTGACGCTGCTCTGCGGATACCTCTCCAGCCCAGTCTGCAAACAAGCCCAGCTCAGCCTCTGGACCAGCAGGCCAGCGGGACGGCGGTCGCCCCTGCACTGGGAGGATACTGCAGCTCCCTGATGTACCGCTGCACGGCTTCCAGGCGCTCAGGGACCGGCGTGGAGGGCGGGAACGTAGGCACAGTCGGTATGGGAATCTGGGGACAGAGAAAGAGCCCTGGTCACAGAGGAAGGCTCCCCAAAGCTTCCAGCTCCCGGAAACCCAGACTGTCCCCCAGAGAAGCCAATGCCGAGGGGGGCCTCCATGCTTCCCTCCTACCCTGAGCCTCTCTCCTTGGCAACCCTTTATGGAGGCTCCGGCCAGACCTCCCCCGTGGCCGTTCCTCTCCCTCCGGGCACTTAATAGCATTCCTCATGTGGAGCTTCTGTTGATGCTCCGATTTTGTTTTCTTTAATAATTTTAGAAAAACACAGGTTGACTCACCGTTTTGGATTTTTTTTTTATAGTCATCGACTCTAAGGCTTAACAAGAATGTCAATATTGCGGTGAAGTTCATTTGGATGTGGGGCTCATTCTGGTTCAAGTGCTGGATCAAAGCCGGTTTACCTGGTGTCCCATCCCCTCAGGGCCTGCCCTGGGCTGGGGGAGCCCTCCAGCGAGGGATGAACACCCCCAACCCCCGGCAGAAGGTGCTACCCACCCCTGTCACGGCACATTGACCAGGCCTCCAGCTGCTACCCGGACTGGACTGAGTCCGTGGTGGCAGGCAGAGGGACACGGGGCAACAGGGCTTGCTGTGGCTCTTCTTGCCATGGTCTAGCCACTTTGGAGGGGTTTCATGGAGGCACAGGAGCCCAGGTTCCCCTTCAAAACCTCCCCTCCTGCCGGCTCCACACCTGGCAGCAGCACGGTGACCAGGCCACCAGGCGGTCCTCCCACCAGGAGGGACTCTCCTGTGCGCAGCCCAGAAGGGGAGAGACAGGGGGGCGTCGGCAGGCGCCTCCTGATGGCTGGATACTGCAAGGCTGGGGCTGCGAGGAGGTAGGCCAGAGCTGCAGATCCCTGAGGCCGTCCCTTCAGCAACCAGGCAGTCTCCAGGGAAAGGGGCCACCATGCGGAGTGGGTCCTCGGAGCCCAAATCCTGGCAGTTTGGCTGCAACAAGTCAGCGAGGCCGAGGAGGCTGAGGAGCCCTGGCTGGGTCCTCTGAGGCCTCAGAACAGACTTCTTTGGGCAGAAGAACCAGGTTTCTAGGAGCAAGTCCCACTCTTCTGGGCTCCCCCTTGGCTACTGCCAGCTGTGGGGTGGCTGCGGCTTCCTCACATAGAGAGGCCACGCCCTCATGGCCCAGGTCCCCACCAGCTTCTCTTCAGAGAGCCAGCGGGCTGGGCTGTTGGGAGTCAGTCTGGCGGGCAGGGGTGTGTGAAGGGGAGGGGTGAAGCAGGGCTGGGGTGGGGGAGGCTCTCCCTGTAGTGAGGTGCTGAGCCCACAGGGCACAGCCTTTCAAATAGGGAAGTGACACACAATGGTCACTGCACCCCAGATGGCCAGGGGTCCCAGGACAGCCTGTGGTGGACACCTGCTCACTCCAAAGGGCCCGGATGCAGGAGGGAAGGCCTGCAGTGACAGCCCTGCATGAACTTCCTCTCCCCAGCTCCTGGGCCCCTCCTCCCAGGCTGGGCAGCCCCCAGGCTGACACCTCTGTCTGGAAGAAGCTGTTTCCCCTTTCACATCACACAGCTGCCTGAACCTGCGCCACTACTTACAGTTGCCAGGGGGGTGGGGGGCTCCCTCTTCCTGCCTGACCACCCTGTGCCAATGCTCCCCTGGGTCAGGATACGGGGTGCGGGTGGGAGAGGAATCACTTCACACTTTACTATACAGCATAGCACCCAGCCTCCTCAGGTGGAAGGTCCCTGAGAGGCCACCTACATGTCTCAAGTGAGGGCACCCGTGACTGCCAAGAGCTGTGGCTGCAGACTATAAGTGCACCCCCCTGAGATACTCCAACCAAGGAGGGAGCTGCAGCCCAAGGGTCCTGTACTCAGGCTCACCCAGGCCTGGGCCAGGAGTGGCAGCACCCAGGAAGACATCCGGGCCATCCAGACAGAGCACCAGGCACTGGCTGCTCCGGGAGAAGGAAATGACTCTGAATGAGCAAAGGACCTGGACTCCCAGCAGGGCCTCGGAGGCCACACCACTGAGGCTCGCTGCAGCCAGCTCCGTGACCCAGGCTGACTCAGGCAACCACTGCAGACAGCGCCACACCTTTCTTCCGAATGGTCACACCAGCATACGCTCACCCGCTCAGAAACAAGTGAGCACGTTTCTGTACGTCCAATCGACCAGGCCCACTTTGGGACTGGTAGCCTGGATCTGCCCCATACCCCTCCCCCTCTCAAATCAGGAGCCAGGAAATGCTTCTCACTGTTGAGGGTCGGGGTGCGGTGAGGGTGAGTGAGCTTGGCTTCCCAGATAACTCGTCCCCCACTGCCAAGGCCAAAGGTTAGCCTTGCTGCAGGAACCCCTAACGTCCTGAGCTCTGTTCAGTCACTCCCCCGGTGAAGACCATTTCAGTCCAGCACAATAGGGAGGCTCGGGGAGGGAGGACAGCTGAGTGTGTGGGCCAGAAGCAGGAGAAGCCTAGAGGTTGACAGCGTGGTTCCAGAACCGGACTGTCGCTGTCTAATCCCAGCCCTGCCATTCGCTGTCTGGCATTAAGCTCCCTAATGAGTCTGTGCCTCAGATGCCTCGTTTGTGAAAGGGTCACCATAATAAAACCATGGGCACCATAATAGAACCATGGGCACCATAATAAAACCATGGGCACCATAATAAAACCATGGGCACCAAAATAGAACCATGGGCACCATAATAGAACCATGACGCCAAATTAGGATGCTCATGTCAAGGCCTTAGAACAGGCTCAGGCACGCAGCAAAGCTCAGTTCCTGCTGACGGTCACCGTCACTCCAGCGTGTGCCAACCACTGGTCAGCACATGCTGGCTCAACGTCCAAACTTGTATTCTGTAGGAGCCCCGTGGCCAGAGCCACGTCAGCAGGGCTCCAGCAGCTGGCTCGGGGAGGAGTGGCCCCTGAGCTTTTAGAGGCGGTGGCAGCCTAGAACATCAAGGGGAGAGTCTTATGAAGGAGCACAAACTGTCCCTGGACCTGGGGTCCTTTTAGAGACAGCTGCCTTTTAACACACCGGTACCATCCTTGTAAAGGATGTTTCTCTGCAGCGCCTGTAGGGTGGCTGCACCCTCAGTCCTTGCTCCATTTGCTGGGTATGAGTGATGTGTTCACCTGTTTCACATGCTTTTACTTCATCAGTTCCTCCCGACACCCTCAGAAATAGATATTGCTATTACCCCCATTTTATAGCTGGGAAAACGGAGGCACAAGGAGCCTGCAGACCTTCCTCACAGAAGGCATCGTGGGAGAACCAGGATTTTAAGCTGGTGCTGCCTCTGGGAGCAGAGCTCTCTCTCTTGGTCACACTACACGGCAGGGATGGCAGGAATCCCAGACTCAACAACCTGCAGGGACCACACGGGTAACAAATGGGGCAGGCAGGCTGGGAGTGAGTGGCGGAGACTGTGGCCAAATGGGGGGAGGGGAAACCACTCCTCAGCTCCAGCTGCCACTGCCATTGTGACTGCAGAGTCTCTGTGCCCAGATCTTCTTCTGAAATGACGCCCGAAATCTGGATCTTTATGTGAAATCTCCCAATTTTAAATTTTAGCTCAAGGGTCTTCTAAAACATTGTGCTGTCCCAACAAAACATCCCTTGGGCCCACTATGGTGTGACCTCTGCAGAGAATGCCAGCTCCAAGGACATGACCAGTCAGGAGGGGAAAGTCCAGTGGTCAGCCCACTCGGCTGCTGGCACCGCGGGATCCAACCACTGATGCCTCCCAGACTCCGGGGCTGCTTTCTACTCTGGGCCAAGGCCAAGGAGGAATCCCACACAGACTTGGGTGGGTTTTCTATCTGCAACACTTTTTCCTGTGGTTTGAGGAGGGGAAGTTTTGGATTTTCCCAATCTTCTCACAAAATTCCCGTGACACTACCATACTCCTATTGGCCATGACACACACTCCCCCACCGACAGCAGCTTCAGTCTTTCATTGGTATCTTTCCTATACATGCAGGTTGAGGATGACATTATAGACCAGTCCCTGATAAACTCATTGATTTTTCTTCTTCTTTTTTTAGTCTCCAGAACCATTCACATTCTTAAGGTTGAGGATGATATTATAGACCAGTCCCTAATAAACTCATTGATTTTTCTTCTTTTTTTAGTCTCCAGAACCATTCACATTCTTTATAACATGGCTTAGACATAAGCAAGATGGCTGGAGAGCTGTCTGCTAAACACCAACTTGTTCATGTGGGAGAAGCGCATGGCTCTGGCCTCATTAGCTCATATGTTCTGAGTGATGAAGAACATGGAAAAGGAAATGAACACCCAATAACCAGTACTGGTTTGAGGCTTCAGTTTGGCAGATGTTTTAGTACAGCCTCTCATTTAATCTGTACCACAATCAACCCCAGGTGACAGATGAGAAAATGATGGCTCAGATAGGGTCAAGGGACCTGCTTAAGGTCAGATAGGTGAGCAATCTGGACCCAACGGTCATATCCTTTGACGCAATACTTTCTCTTCTAGGAATTTATCTCAAGGAGATAACCAGAGATGGATCCCCAAATTTACATTTTAAAATGTTTGTTTGCCAGTGTTCATTTTAAGAATACATTATAGAACAAAATGTCTATCCATAGTGGATTAGCTAAATAAACTCTGAGTTAGTAAGAGGACAACTGTGTAGCCCTTCAAAATCAACCCACATTTTATTTACCCAGGAAACATCAGGCAGTTGCTCAAACTCCGACCTCTGAATTCCCTTTTCCCAGAAGGCAATTCCTCATGGCTATACCAGTAACTTGGTAAGAACAAAACAGGACACTTGTCTCTGTCTAATCCACTTGGACTGCCACTCTGTCCAGCCCTTCCTTCTCACCTGAGCCATCAGGGCTAACCCCTGGGTTCTGACCTCTGTCCCAAGAGCTTTTCTTTGGGGATTTCAAGCCTCTGATTCTTTTTCTTGGCCACAGATGTTAGAGAGAAAAATCAGGCATGTGTTTCCACTGTACAGCACGCAAAGTCTCAAGCACCCTTTCACTGAGCAAACACATAAATGCCTGTCTGTGCCAGGCACACAGGAAACCTTGGAAAGACAAAGAGGAATGAGACACAGCCTCAGCCTTCATGGGTGACACAACTGAAGACAGCCGTCATGTAGGACTTCCAGCCGTGCACAGAAAATTTAACTTTACTCCTCTCCATAGGCCCTCTTTAAAAAATAAAAAAATGCTGAAGAAACTGCAAGGAGGCTATTTGTTGCTAGGGAGAGGAAACCGGGTGTTGCTATGTGATGTCATTACCTGGATGGACACTTAGCGTATTAGCCATATATATATATATATATATATTATTGCTTTCAGAGAGGAAGGGAGAGGGAGAGAGATAGAAACATCAATAATGAGAGAGAATCATTGATTGGCTGCCTCCTGCTCTGCCCCCACTGGGGATTGAGCCAGCAACTGGGCATGTGTCCTGACTGGGAATTGAACTGTGACCTCCTGGTTCATAGGTCAACACTCAACCACTGAGCCACTCCAGCTGGATCTTTTATTTTTCTTTTTTTTTAATTGCTTTGTATAGAGAGAAGAAGGAGAGGGAGAAAAACATTGACATGAGAGTGAAACATCAATCGGACGCCTCCTGCACAACCCCCACCAGGGATCAAGCCCACAACCCCAGTATATGCCCTGACTTGGAATCAACTGGCAACCTATTGGTGCATGGGATGACATCCAACCAAGCCACACCAGCCAGGGCACGACTAACTGTCCCCATCTAGTGTCCAGCAGAGTAGATCACCTGGAACCCGAAGGCCCAGTTCTACCACTTACTGGCTATGGGGCCCTGAGTGCCGACTTGAGTTTTCATATTTCCCATCTGGAAAATGGGCCTCAATCTGCACTTACTTCACGAGACTATTGGGGATTCAGTGAGATAACACATGAAAACGTTTTTTCAATATGTGAAGCCCTGTATCCTCCTTAGTCATTCATTCTCTCTCTGCCCACAGTTCTCTGGTTTAGCAAATAAGATGTCAGTCCACATTAGTGTACTTGTTAATCTGCTGCCCTGCCCGTAAAGCATGGGCATTTAAAAAAAGACAGAGGAGCTTTCCAGGAAATGGGGCTGGGGGCCTCACAGAACCACCTCAACTGCAGCCAGGAGAAAGTTCTGGAAGGCACAACCTGCCTGTATTTTTAATCTTGCCATGACAGCCCCCTACCCCACCAAGAAAAGTGTGGCTTTACTCTCTCAACCTCAAGGTCATGAAAACCCGGAACCCCCACTCTGCCCCCAACACACACAAACCCCTCACCTTGGGCAGGTCCATGGCCCCACGGATCCGCTGGGCCACCTTTTCTCCATCGGGGTGGATCTTGGCCACGTGCTTCCACATCCTTTCCCAGGTGGCCTCGTCCACAGGCAGTCCGCCCCGGTTGACATAGAAGGGGACACCTCCATCTCGCAGGTCCTCTTCCCCTTCCTCCTCTGGCTCATCGTCTCTCTGGGCGGATGCCCCTTCGCTGGTCTCTAAACGCCTGGCCCCAGGGGAGGCAGCAGAGGCAGCGGCGGGGGCAGCACCGCCCCCGATCACCTTCTTCCCTCCTGGCATCCCCAAATCCTTGACAGGGGCCGGAAGGACGTTTCGGAAGGCAGGGAAAAATTGGTGGCTCACAGGAGGCCTCCCACACACCGGCTGCAGAGATAACACATGGCCAAACAGAGTACAGGCGCCTTTAAGAAACCAGGGCGTGGCTCCGGTACAATAAAATACTACTCAATAAGAAAATAAAATAAAAAAATCAGTGCCTCAACATACAGTGGGGGACAGAAGGGTTAGCGGTCCGGGGTCATCTTTAGAGGCCTGGTGCTCTTTGAAAAAACGGGGTAAAGAGGGAACACCCCAACTTGGCAGCCTTCAGAAAGCACCCCATTTGACAGCGAAAACAATGACTGGCAGCAGTCTGGGCTTGCAGAGAGAACAGTCGCGGGGAAACTGAGGCCCGACAGCTCAGACCTGCGGCGGCCGAGAGGGCCAAGGCACGGATGCCCACGCTGACTGGGCCCCCCAGGCGCTAGTTTTGGAGAGAACAAAGTCCTCCGCAAATCATCGCACGCTCACACCTGCGCGCGCTCCTGGGCTGGGGGGTACCGAGGTGACTTCAGGCCGCATCAGCTCGGAGCCCGGACCCCCAAACCCCCGACCCGGGGCGGCGAGGGGGCGCGATTTCTTCACCGTGATCAGTCCGGGAGCCAAGACTCGCAGC